ACTAAACAAATAAAAGCAACTACAGTCGTAGCTAGTTTGTTTCACTAGCATCTTTCGACACTAAGACATTCAGGGTTGTTTCTTCCAACTTCTTCGTCTTCAATCACACCCTCACTCACACCGTCGCAACTCGTCGTTAGTCCACAACTTCCGTCGTGTTTAAGAACAACCGTCTTAATAAGTGTCGATAATTTATAATATGTCAGTATTTTCGAATAACCAGTTGTTGAATGTGAACGATGTTTTTGGATTGCAATTCCAAAATCTCCAACAGCAATTGACCGATTTCGGTCGTGTTGTTGCACAACAACAACAGGTTATAATGCAGTTGTTGCAAAACCAACAACAACCAGTGAACACAGTTCAGTGGCCTTCTCTTCCACCTCCTCAGGCTTTTCAAAGTCAAGTCAATCAACAAACTTCGAAACCTAGGAAACAGAAAGGTACTAACCCTATTCCTGGTGCTCCTCCTGCTAAGAGAAATGCACAGTCTAATTCTCGTAAACGAACACCTAAGAATATCACCTTAGGAAATTTCTTACCAAATTCGATCCAAAAAGGATCAAATAAGAAAAAGGTTCACTTTACTAATAAGAATTCGAAACAGGCAGCTCAGAAGCAGAAAGGAGATAAGAAACAAAAGGCTATTCCTCAACAACAGACTAAGAAAGCACAAACGACGACAGTAAAAAAGGTTAATCCGAGTCAGCCGTTGCTTCCTTCTTCAGTTAACATTGAATTAGCTAACCGTTTCTTGCCGCTGTCTTCTGACTTACCTGAAGATGATGTGATTGCTAACCTTGTTGAAAAACAGCAAAGGCCGGCAAACACAACAACAGCAGCAGCAACAAATCCAGATACTGATGCTCCGGTCGTTACCAAAGTAGTCCCGGCACAATCTAAAAGAAACAACAAAAATAAAAAGAAAAAGAAAAATAATAAAATCCAAGATAATCTTAGGATTACACTTACTCCTGGACAATCTCGAATAGTCACAAAGGTTTCTGAAAAGAATACTAATGATAGTTCGAACGTTAAGGAAACGTCGAAAATACCACGTTACTTCGACAGACCACACCTAAAAGCACAACAGATTGAACACTGGCTTAAGAATGTGGCTCACGTTGAAGCCGTGCAAAACGATGAAGTGATAACAGCCTCACAAGGAGCCGCTTCTCACGTTGATCGATTAGTTGATTTCGCCGCGAAAACAGCTTTCTCATACGATCAATTGACACGAGCTCTTTTTGAAGTACAGGTCTGGTTATTTTTCTTAGATCTAGGCACAAGAGAACATGAACCCCATTGGGCAAATGAGGTCACACTTGCTGCCAGAAGTAAAGAGGATGCACGTATTCGACAATTTTGTGAGAAACGACTCCTCAAAATAAATTCAGATATCGAACGTATCAGAAATGAAATAGCTATAATTAGCGCCCAACATGATTTTAAAGAACAAGATGGGTATGAAGCTATTATGTTCGAATATATGAATTACGCGTTATCCAAGGTCCGTCGTCATAACGAACTTAGGATGAAAACAGCTAAAACTGAAAGAGCAGAATCAGTAGCATGGGATAAGTTCTTAACTGTAGCCAACCCTGCACAAGTATCACTCGCTCAACTAGTTAAAGCTCAACTCGCGAAATATCGTGCCAAGAAAATTCGGCACGAAGAGAGAGCAGTACATGCAACTCCCGAAGTAGATATGCTTCCTAAGGCATTGCCTTCGTTAAGATTAAACTTTAATCTTGATAAAGAATCAATGACGGAAGAGGATATCAAAGATGTACGGAAAAGTATGGATGATATCACCCGAGAATATCGACTTAAAGCAACCGAATTGTATATTCGATCAGCTAAAATCGAGCTAGACTATCAAGCCACTCGTATAACACATTTAATTGAAGGTTCAGTCTTAGACCCATCACAAGGACAAGACAATGAAGCAAATAAATTGTTCGAGGTCTTTACCAAAGTACATCACTGCCAAACAGCAGCCAAGGCACAGAAAGCTAGTCTTCATTTAAAAGATCGGTTTTCAAAAGTAGAAGCTCCAGATCCAAAAGATACAGAGCCTATGCCTATTCCGGTAGCCGAATTATCGGCTCAAATCGGAAACATGACGGACATCCTTCTTCTGAACAGAAAATAGATGCACCAACAGTGATTAATCAATCAACATTAACACTGACCGATGCAGAGTATTTAATTCTGAAGAAGGGACCGCGCTTCATCTTGAATGATCCTAAACGTGCAGCTGTAAGAAAAATCCAAGAGTTACAGCAAACGTATGAAAAAATACGTAGCCATAGCTCAGATAGAGGATGGATTCTACCTGCAGCACAGTTAAATACATTCATAGAAGCACTCACGATTGAATTGGATAAAATTCATGAAATCAGCAAGCCAAGCAAAGACTTGAAGATCTGTCGTAGTCTAGAGAAGAAGTTGAAAGATTCAAACACAATTCTCAGGAAAACAGACAAATCGAAAGTTTTTCACCTAGGTAAAGCAGACGATTATGAAGAAAAAGCCAAACAATACATGATAAAGACCAAGGCGTACGATTGTCTAGGAGATAACAACCCTTTACAAGGTTTAATCTCTGAAACAAATTCGATGCTAAAAGGCCTTTTATCAGGCAAACATATCAGCTTCAGGCTATTCAGAAGACTTTATGTTGAAGAAAGCAAAGCTGAACTGGCACACCTGTATTTCTTGCCAAAAGCACACAAAGCAGGTACACCCCTTAGACCAATAGTAGCAGGTTTGAAATCTCCTACAATTGAAATTTCAAGGTGGCTAGATTCGATATTGAGACCACTCTTCGATAGATTAGCAAAAGAAACTTCCATATTGAATGGAGTAGAATTGATTGATCTATTAGAAAGATGGTCACACCAGAATCTGAAAAGCCAAACCCAGTTTGTCACAATGGATGTATCAGACCTATACACAATGGTCCCACAGGAAGGAGGTATTCAGGCGATAAAGAAGATGCTTCGCGTTTTCCATATCGACCAGATACAAGAAGTGAAAACTTCAACTATCCTGTTATTAGCAAGATACGTAATGAAGAACAATTACTTTGTTTATGGTAACTGTTATTACAAGCAGATAAGAGGAGGAGCCATGGGCTCACCTCTCACCCTCACCATAAGCAACGCGTATATGTACTTCTTCCAGACACCCATCGTAAAATGGGTCCAACATGGAAATGGTATCTACTGCAGATACATCGATGATATATTTATCGCAGCAAACACTACACACGAATTGCTAGAAGGATTAGTCCAGCATTGGAATAGGATAGACGAAAATATAAAGTTAACAGCTGATATTTCGCAATCAGTGAACTTTTTAGATGTCGCAATAGCCAATCTAAACGGAGTGCTGCAGACATCAGTCTTTCATAAACCATCGCATGAACCGTACTTTCTACCATATGATAGCACACACGCCATGTTCATTAAAAGAAACATACCCAAGGCAGCTATCATCAGGGCAATAAGATATTCATCGGAGTTAATGGAATTCAGCAAAGAAGAAACGCATATAACCGTTTCACTTCTATTGAATGGATACCCATTACGAACTATCCAAAGACAATATGAAATTGCCTTTAACGAAATGAAATGTGCCTGGCCAAATATAGACAATTATCGAGAGATACGTCATATTTTCCTGGCGCATTTCTTCGAAAAAGACAATAAAATACATGAAAAAGAAATAAATTTCGATATCGAAATGATATTTCACTTTTCATATTGTCATGGAATGGAGAAATTCGCAGCATCATTTCACGAGAAATGGAACGAAATCCTTGGACAATTTGCAATAACTAACATTAAGCCAATCGTTGGATTTCGTAACTGTGAATCCCTTCAACAAAAATTAGTAAAGAAAAAGCCGTCAAAAGCTTTAATTACCGTTCAAAACTGATCGTATAATATATAGACAATCGCATAAGAGAGAGACATCTGACGTGAATTGTGAAGTCCACAATTTACTCAAAAGAGTCCTTCATATATTATGTGATGGGTCTAAAAAGAAAGGCTTCTCTCGATAGTTATGAAATTCATAATTTGCTCAGAAGAGTCCTTCTTGTATCATATGTTCAATCTATAAGAATGAAAATTCATATAGAGGTCACTAGTTATGCACTTCTCGATAAAGAGGTCGCTAGCAACAGAAATAATGACCATATCCATAGATTATCTTATTTCAAGTGCAAAATCCATTGTCCATATTTCACCGTTTGTTTAGTAAAACGATAAGCGTAAAGACTTAAAAGTAGTATAGGTCACTTCACGCGATGCGTAAAGACAGATACTAAGTCGTGCCTTTTACTTTAC